GGTGGCATAGCGGCCCGGTGTGGGGGCACAGCCATTGACTGCCTCCTGACAGAGGAAACCAGGGATGGTCCGAGTGTCGTCCGAGAACTCTGTGTGCTGAGGGATGGATGTGTTACTTCTTTCTGGGAGTGAGCAGCGGGGAGTGGAGAGCAAAATATTTTCCTGATCAGGGATGAGATGATTCTCCCATCCTTGAGCAGCCCGTCTAAGGAGCGCCACTTGGTCCGGAATTTAGCGGGGGCGGGGCTGGAGAGGGCTGGGTGAATATTCTGCCCTGTCAGCATGGCCTCTCCCTAAGATCCTTTTCCCACTCTACAGATAAAGCGTTGTGAATTTTGTTTTGCGTACCTACCCCGAAGTGATAAAATAAAACAAAATTCTGTATCAAATTTATAGACAAGACAAGTAGTTTGTTCAGGCATGGTTTTGTAGGGATTTACAAACCTGCGCTCACATATTCAAACGCACATAACTATAGAATCAATTCTTAATGCGCATGTGAACGCCATCAGTGTTTATCACAGGTTCGCGTTTAAAGTCTGTTTAGAGACATTACCAAGCATTTGTGCTTAGGGTACCCAAATGGCTAGCGCCGGCCCTGGCTGTTTTCTTGGCAAAAGGACGTTGCAAAAAGTATTGAAAAAAAGGGAATGATTAATTGTGAGCAATGTTGCCAAGGTTAATGAATTCATTGAGTGTGTTTGGGTGTGGCTGAAAAGTGTTAGTTTACACGAGTCAGTGTATAAATGCCGTCAAGAGCATGCCAAACCTAGCCTAATCAGAATCCTGAAAAATAGCAATAACAGCAACGAATTACTTCCTCTTTCTCTTTTGAACAAAGATGGAGCCAGGATCATCAATGGTCCTATGAAGTGCACGGCCTTGCTCAATGCATAGGTGCTGTGGATGGCACAGATGTAAACATAGGTCGCACTTTTGACGCAGGTGCAAGATCTGTCGCATACTGTGACATCGGCTGCCTAAAACTCTCAGTTTACATGCAAACAAAGTTTTCCAAAATCTCCACTCTGGCCGGAGTTTTTTGAAATAATGTTTTTCAGAGGCAAATTCTCCGTTTGCATGTAACGAAGGGCACAAATGAATGGAAATGTCTCCCAAATAACCATGTATGTGTAAACGGGGCCTTAGTGGTTCCGGCATTTCGTGTTTGGATTATGGTGTCTGTCTTCCTGGTCGCTCTTCCTTGATTTTTTATGGAGGACTTGGTTGCCCATTTGTGTCCCTGCGCTGCCAAGAGAGACTGTTCCCTGGCAACTCTAATCTTCTGGCCCACTTCATCTACTCTTATTATTTATTTAATAAATAGACACAATTTTCACACTCACCTCTTTCATTGATCCTGACAAATGTGTGTTAGAGAAAAACATTTATTTGATATTTTCCCCCCATTTAAAAGTATATTCTCCAATGAAAGGTTAGAATTTTATAATTTTTTATTTAAAAAATAATAATTATTTAATTAAAAAATAAGTTATTTTAAAGGATTAACAATGTGGTTTTATTTTCACAGCCGTCTTTGATCATATTTACCAAGGGTATGAATCATTTACACAACTTACAATTGACAGGGTAACCGCTTTTGCTGTCTCTCCTTTTCATTTGCCCCATGGTAAATTTCCCTTTGTTCTTCATCATTATTCGTTCAATCTTCAGCAGTAGTTCTTGTATCTGACTCTCTGATTTACTCTTGTTGTTGAAACAGTGAAACCTTCCTCCACATTCAGTCACCAGTTGCTGGAGATCTGCATGATCTTTACTTCGAAGATATTCCTCAATGGTCTGTGGTTCATCCAGATCTTCCAGTTCATCTCCACGTGTGAAAAGGACCATCATGTACTTGTGAACTTCAGGACCGAATAAACCTTTAATGAAATCGAGGATCTCTTCCTCATTTTGCACAGGTTGCTCTAGAGGAACGGTGATAAGAACTGCACTGAGACCTGAGGAACATAGTTTGATCAGCTCTTCTTTCAGTTCCTCCAGCTTCTCTTCGGACAGATCTGGATCCAGTGGATCTGGAGAAATAAACACATGCACCTGCTTGTCTCCGATCTGAGTTTTACCCTCACAAACTTCAGACTCATGCTTCTTTACTTTAAACCTCTTTTCTCCCAGAATAGTGTTTCCAGATGAGCTTGTCCCAGAACCATATCTGCCCATCAGAAGAATCCTGATCACTGGATCATCTGAACTGGAGCAGATCTCTGACATCCCTGAATTAAATGTATAGAACAAGATCAGAATCAGGTAAGGGCAAATTATCATGCTTTTCACTGCAAGCCAAGAGTAAGAAATTAACAAAACATACACTCTTAAAAAAATGCTGTTTTTTTTTATTTATGTTGGGTTGTTTTAATGTAACTCAGCTGGTGGGTCAATTTTCCTGACAGTACCAACGTCTGCTTGTAACACTAATACATACGACAGAACCGTGGCCTGACAAGAAAAAGGTACACAGGTTATGGAACATTTCTGCAATTATGAAAGTCCTAGTCTATTCAGTCTTTTTTTTTTCTCGTGATCTTGACATAAATGTTTTCATTTTATTGTCAGGAGCAATCGCTAAATGAAAATGAAATGAAATAGTGCAACTTAAAGGGATACAGTAGTTTACCCCAAAATGAAAATTCTGTCAGTAATTACTCTCCCTCATGTTGTTCAACCCCGTCAGACTTTTGTTCATCTTCGCAACACAAATTAAGATATTTGTGATTAAATCTGAGAGCTGGGTCACTCCTCCATAGGCTTCTAATGTATTGAAACTTGCCGGCCAAGAAGGCCATTCGGAAGGAGAATGAAGATTTGAAAAACAAAAACAAGGAGAACCTGAAGCACATCTCTGAAGTGGAGGAGAGAATAAATGATCTGGATCGGTACTGTCGGAGATGGACTCTTCGATTGGAGGGCTGACCGAACGTGCAGAGGATAATGTCAAGACTCGGGTAATGGAAATCTGCAGAGCGGAGGTTGTCGAAGAAGATAGTAACTTCGTTGCAAATAATGTGGACATTGCTCGCTAAGTTGAAGACTCATCTCAGATGGCGGCAAGGATAAGAGACCAAGGCCGGTGATTATAAGATTCACTTCCAGAACAGCGAAGGACTTCACATGGAAAGGAGCAAGGGAAATCACTTTCTTAAGAAGAACATGATGTACTTTAAAGAGGTTCTCACGATCAAAGACAGGGCTACGCGGAATCTCCTTTGGCCTTCGATCGACAAAGCACGGAAAGAGGCAAAAGGGCCTTCTTTGTGGGAATCAAGACAACTGTTGACAGTAAAGAAATTAAAATGTAAACCACTGCTCCCTTATTATGGCTCTGATTTTGAATCTTAAAGTTCTGTGAAACGAGAAGTAGATGTTTGCTTTTGGTTATTCTTTAAAACTTGAACAAATTATATAAGGTTTTTAATTTTTTATTAATGCTTACATTCATTAGTGATGCGAAATTACAACAACATGAGGTTGTTATTCCTTTTCTGTTACTCAAATTAAAGCTAATAAGATTTCAAGAATGATCCTGAAATGTGATGGTTTCTCGTAGTGATGGAGTAAGTTTACCCTTTATACACTCTCAACACTTTCAACCTTAATTTGCTCATTGTTCACCTAATTGTTCTATTAGGGTTTTTTTTTTCTGGTCTTGTTTGAGTTTACTGTATGTCAGTAAGAATATTTGAAGAGTTCAGATGCAAAAGCCTCTAAATGCCATTTGAAATTTTCTTCTTTAATGATGATTTTTATTAAACTTGTATATTTAAGTTCAGTTATTTCACTTAAATGGCAATGATAATTACCTATTAATTGTTATTTAAGTGAAATTACTGAACTTAAATATACAAGTTTGATAAAAATCATCATTAAAGATGAAAATTTCAAATGGCATTTAGAGGCTTTTGCATCTGAACTCTTCATTTTCTGTTAATGCCAGGGGATTATGTGACGTGCTGAAAAGGAAAGCTCTATTTTTGTTTTGTAAAGGTAAAGAAGCAGATTATTGAAAAAGATTAAACAGTATGGTAATTCATTAGAAAAAATTAAGAACAAAAAAACAAGAAAGACCTATGAAGCTCTTTGTTACTTTAAAGGTGCCCTCTGGGATAAAAAATCAAATCATACACAATATTCCATACCAGGTGGGGGCAGTATACCTCCAGAAAAATACCTCCGTGGCCGTGCGCACTCATGTCTTCAAACAACACAGGCGAGCGCTAATATCCCTCGCGCATATTAATCAAATCAATTGACACGATAGTAAAAGATTGGAAGACCGCAGTTTCACATGGATCATTTGGAGATTTTTTACTGATTACAGACTAAATGAACAACATCTCAATACTAAATTATAAAGGCCATCTCATAGACCAGCTGGTGCATTTCGACGATATGGGAAAATTAAAGCCCAGGCTATTAAAGTTATTTCTATTTTATGGTATTCGTTTTGTTCATGTTACATTTTATCATTAGTTTGAATTAATTTGAAACTAATGATAGCATTCCCTGATGTGGACCAAGCTAGCGCCTTTTTTTTAGAGCTGCCAACTCTCACAAATTCACCGTGAACACACAACTTTTCACACACTCTCACGCCACACATCCATTTTGTCATGCACAGAAAAGGACACGGAGACCGATCTCAGCTCTCAGATTCTGTTCATTTTATTACACAATTCAAACAATAAATGCAGTTTTGGCACTTGTAAATGTTAGACGACAGATCCCTAGCGCACGTGAACCGATCATCTCTACTAGCTAATGGTAAAAGAAAACGAACACTGTTGAAAGATACAGTATGTTACAACTTACCAAAATGTATTCCTCATGCATAATATCGACCATCATTTTTTTAACTCATCCCTGAACTGAAATTTAGTAGTGGGCTGTATTTTCCACACGGCTGACATCAGGTTCAAGTACACACAACCCGCGCGAGTTACTCGTCTATTGCAGTTTGGCTGGTGGTAATGTTGCCCGCCCGCATACCGCCTCCCATGCCGAAATTGGTATTACGACACTGCCGGGCCGGGGCTAGTAATTTAGCATGCTAATTTAGGTTTATATCTGGCAGCACTATAACTTGTCAGTTTTCTAATGACATCATTGCACTTATTTCTTCTCATTCTTTTGATGTGTGTAGCTCATTTTTTGGATATTTTTACCTCAATTATCCCATATGGCACCTTTAAATTATTGTAACTTTACCCCTGGTATGATCTTTTTTTCTTTCTTTTTTATTATTTTCTATTTGTTGTGGAGTTGTATTGTAATGTATATTCTTTGCATATTCTCTGTTGCAATAAAAAATAAAATAAAAATTGAACGCCCGGTTGACTTCCTGATTCTATGAAACCACTCCTCAGAAACAGCCAATGGGTTTAGATTGGTTAGTTTGGGACGTTAAAAACATTTTAAATCCTGCATTAACTTTTCATATGGTATTTTCATACAAGGTTATCTATTCTTTTCGATTTTTTTTACCTGCTGCAATATGCTCTTTAAATAAAGTGCAAAAAACTTTAACAGAAATTTGATATCACCATGATTGAGATCAGTGTTTGCTTTAGTTGTGTTCTTGACCTTTATTGTGTGTTATTAATTTTTCTCTAGTTGCTTTAACTATGTATTCAACGTACATTTGTTGTAGCATTGAAAGCAGGAGAAAAGATCAGCTGATGTTGGTCATTTATTGGTGATATTATAGGTATCACACGGACCTGATTGTTTTTTGAAGAATGACATCAATAATCTACATATGAATCTCAACAATGGTTACACTAAACAAAATCTTTGTGTGACTTTAGTAGTTCAGAGTTGATCACCATTGTAGTGATTCATACACTGATTCTTGATGTCTATGTGAGTCTATATGATTCTGTCAAAACATTTTCTATTTTATGACTTGATAAAATATTAGTATCACGGCACTGCATGATCTTCTATAACAGTATTGGCTTTCAAAATGAACTACTAATATTTAACTAATTAATCAGATATTACAATCTTCAGGTGAAATCAATAAAGCATTCAACTACATGATGACCATTGCCACTAATAAGGCCCTGTTTACACGAGAACGCTGGCAAGTGAAAACATAAAAATATTTAATCGGATGTGCCTTTCGTTCACACGGCGACGGCGTTTTTGAGCCTTAAAAATGCAAAAAAGTGACACCACCCTCCAGAGTGGAAATCTTAAAAAAGCTCCACCTTCGCGTTCCGTGTAAAAGGGTAAAAACGCAAAAGTCTGCTTGACAGTGAAGGTTGTACGCAGTGCGTGGACTTGGTTTTGCTGTAGTATGCACTCTTAGCCGCCTGGAGTGCATACTACATTGAATTTCACAGACTTTTGCATCACCATTGGCACGCGAATTTCCCACACAAAACGATCATCTAAACGCAGAATAAAAAGTGATGATGCAACGCCACTTTTGCGTTTTCTGTTCAGAATTGTTTCCGTCTAAACATAGCCTAAGTGATCAGATCTCCTGAACTGAGAGTCTCTTGGATTCCTACTATAAAAAACGTATCAGCAACATAGAGTTATAGCAGTCAGAGAAAAAGTAATGTTAAAAACAAAGGGTCAAGAGACCCACTAAAGCAAACGCTGATCTCCATCATGGTGACATCAAACTTTATTATTTCACATAAAAATCAACTTCTAAACATCTGTTAATTCTCAGTAAGAATGTTAGTATGCAATAAATAAAGTCTGGATTGTAATAAGTGAGGATGCAGAGATCTTGAGAGATCTGTTAGTGTTTAATGTTCTGTTGGGATGTAAATTGTTTCTGTATGGTGTGTTTTGTTGGTCACCATTGTGTTGAAGAGTAGAGCCTGTGCTTCAGTTCAGGATGAGCAAAGTTACACTGATGAAATGCTGCATGTTTCTTTATTTAACTGACAGTGACTGTGTAGTTGCTGATGCAGTGACGTATAGTCACAGTAAATCATTTCACTTGCATGTTTCTTAAAAAAAAATTCTGGAAAAAATGTGAAATAACTGTGTTTCTGTTAAAAAGCTTAATGAGGATTTCTACTTTTGCACTTATTTAAATTAGACTATTTTACATTAATTTTATGTTTTTTGTATGGCAGCTATTGCTGACAGTCATTGACTGTTTTTTACTATGGTTTTTTATGACTTTTTAACAATTAAGGTATTTGATCATAATAATGCATTGTTTTTACAGTTAGAGTGTTTGATAATAATCCAGACAATAGCTGTAAAATATTAGTGTTTTCCTGTAAAACATTTAAGAAAAAATATCTGTAAAATGTTTTTTGCGCTTAATTTACATTAGGATATTTTACTTTATTTTTTTTACGGCATTTGTTTGCCACCCTTTGCTGCCAGTCATTTGACCCTTTTTTGTGATTTTATATTTTACAGTGTAAACTCATAACTTTTGTCTAAAATCAGAGGGAAATGTCAGGTGAATAACACTGATGTTTAGTACCTCACCCTGGTTCTAAGCCTAAACTGTAAACTTGTCCCTCAAATCTGATTGATTGGTCTGAAAGTTGTTCAACAAAGATGTTGATCCAGGAACATGTGGTACTTGGAGAAATTACGTTCACCAACAGCAGCACCTCTTCATACTTGTTCACTGACACTAATAACTAATAACACTAATTACAGAGTTACATAACGGAGATACAATATTATAGTGGCAGCAACAAATTATTCAAAAACATTTTTCAATATCATACGATATTGATATTTATCACAATATTCAGTTAACATTATGGGAAGGTAAATTCTTTTTTGAGAAAAAAAAAACGAGAACAAAATGTAAACAATTTGTACAAAGTATCTACCTTTTAATTTAGGGCCCTATGAAATCAGTTTTATTTTCCTCTTAATTCTGTGAACAAAAATAAAATGAACTTGTGAACCACCATTTCTTTCAAATGAGTTTTAGTGTGGTAATACAACTAAATAACACTACATAAGTTATTTAGGGGCGGTTTCCTGGACAGGTTTTTAAATTAAGCCTGCAGTAGGCCTTAATCTAGAATAATTAATCATGTCTTAAAAAATGGCTTTTTTTAACACAGATTAAGTACAGATTAGTTACACTTGGACTATGGACTCCAGAACTAAAATAAATCAGATTAAATTAAAATCAACTGTGCTCATCTGAATTAGCATGACAGAGGTTGCCTATAAAACATGGAATGAACCGAGAAAAGCTTAAAATTGCATGGAACTGAGAAGCAAATCCTAGGAAAACAATGGCATCAGAAAAAGACTGCAATCAAAAAACATTTACTAACAAGAGAAAATTATTTTTATGCAAGCTAAATAATCTGCACACACCAGCTATGGAATAAAAGAGAAGAAATTTCAGGAAATTTTGTGTGTCAAACTGACCGAAACAGGTTTAAATTGAAAGCATGGACTTGAAGAAAAAAAACATGAAAAAAAATTAAGATTAATTATAGGCTGTATACCACAATAATTGATGAATTCATTTATTAAAATATATTTTAGGTTATTTTTTTTACATTTTTTTGGAAAAAAAAATAAAATCAGTATGGCAGCAACAAACACAGTCTTTGAGTCGTGTAGAAAGATTTCTTACTTGTAGGTGCAAAGGTCGAACTTTATTTGAAGGTCGAAGATCGATCTTTAGTGAATGTGACTCCAGACAGATCACACGAATAATGCTTCTTAGAAAACAAAACAGCATAAAACGTTAAAAAAACACACATCGAGGATTTAGTCAAAAGAAAAACGAAGAGAACAGTAGCAGCATTGTTTAGTTGTATTCAAATGCTCCTCCTGCAGTTAGTTTACCTGTTCTGTCTGTTACCTGTGAGAGAAGGAGTCTGATTGGTGCACAACACTCAATAAACATGATCAGACACTGACCGATGACCCGCATGAGCTAATGATTATCTAATGCTGTATTACAGATTTATTACAGTAATATAAATAAATTGATAAGGCACTAGGAAAACGTTTTGAAGGTGTTCAAAAAAAGTCAGTTCACTTCTGTTTGATTCTCACAAAAATAAAGCAAAAAACTATTGAATCTCGCCGCATTGGTTTGGTTCCGGCCGGGCCAAAAACCTTGGACTAGTTTGCAAAAGTAGGTTTTACGTAAAACACAAAATACCCGAAAATGTACCCAGGGTGACGAGCCAATCCGAGGCATGCATCTTGTCCGGCTGGAGCCAAGGATTCCAACGATGTAAAACACTTGAGCCTATGCCCGACGGTTGAGGAGTTATGAGCCATTTCGTACTTTTGCCCGTTTCAAGTCTCTAGGACTTACGGTTCGTCCTGCACGAACAGTTTTACATGGAGAATTTTGCATTATGGGTAAATTAACAATAACAATAGGGTTTCAGCACTTTATGCTTGAACCCCTAAAAAATAAAAATGCATACAAAACTATAAAATAAAACAGCATAGCCTTAGCTGCAGTTATATTAACAATCAAATCACAGGTTCTCAAAGATTGGAAAAAATAACTTTCGCCATATGACAATTAAATGTCAAATGTCACATACATCCAAAATACAAAGAACAAAACCCAAAATACTCAGACAGATGTTAATCACAATACAATACACAGAAAAATATACCCCACCACATGGAATTTACAACTCATCAGAAATACAAAACCATCCATCACAAATAACTGCAGTCTGCACAAATATGTTAGTTACCATCTTTAACAGTTATATATTTCTTCAAATAACATGGATGGCCAATATAATTCAAGAAATTAAATAGCTTTTTTAATTAAAAAAAAGAAATTAATTAAATACCTTTCCACAAGGAAAATAGAGCTCAATTAAAATCAGCTCCACCCATGTGAAGAAGGCCTAACTCACACAGTGAAACACTCATAGAACACAGCTCCCCCCTAAGGCTGGGAGAAACATTTTACATCATTCCTACATCTATATACTGTAAACCAGAACTGGACTTTATCTGAGCCACAAAATCTGTGTATATTAAACATGGTGTCACCTCAACCTTAATAAGCCTGTTAACAAGCAGAATCACTGAAGGAAAGAAGAGAATAGAAAAAGAGACGAGCAGAACAACTACAACTGACTTTAGACACAGTCTTAGATAAAATCACCTGAAGAGAAGGCATTAAATCTGAAGATCTCAGCAGAGGAGGATTAAACAACTCCACAAACAGCATTACCAGCTTCACTTATTACTAACCAGACTGACTTTATTTCTGTCAGACTTCTACAGAAGATTTTATTGAGAATTAACAGAGGTTTAACTCTTTCATTTGAAGTCACCATGACATCAGAATCTCTGAAGGAGAAAATCGTAATTGGATACCATTATGGAGATCAGTGTTTGCTTTAGTTGGGCTCTTGAGCCTTCAGTCATTTATGTTAGAATTTGTTGTACTTCTGTTCTAACAGCCACATGAACAAAGTGAAAAGATGATTTGATGATGTTGATTGTGTTATAACATAATCAATGATTGGCCTGAATCACTGAGAGAATCATTTCAGAGTAAAGCTTTGAATCTTATGGACATTTTTGCAGCACTGGTGTTGTGGAATATGCCTTTTCTATTGAATCCAAATGATCAAATCAATTACACAAAAAACCCTTAAAAATACTTGAAATAGGCATATACAAACATACAATCTCAACAATGGTGACAAAAAGATTAACTCTGTCTGAACATAATCTCATTATTAATTCATACAGCAATGCATGATGGGAGCCATGAATGAGGTTTGATTGGTGGCACCCAGAATACACTGCAAAATGCTTTATAATTGTCACCATTATTGAGATTCACAGGCTGATTCTTTATGTCTTTTTAAAATTAAGTTTTACAGCAGTGCAGAGATTGTTTAGGTACACACTGTGCAGTGTGTATCCAAACACACATCGACTGACAGGGAACACATGTTATAGGACCGTTCATGTTAGATGGACCAGATGCAATGACTGAACGAATATTTTATGGTCCTATGCTTCCACAGAGGACGTATATTTATAAAAAATAAAATTAGACCGCTTACCAGAGTGATTGCTATCAGGATATGAGGAGACTTTCAACCAGCATTACAAAAAATGTTTCTGTAGAGAAGCACCATAGACACCTTTAAGGGATCTGTAACAAAGTTCAGGGAAGAAGGAGGCAGGAACCGGATAATAATGAAAAATAAAACTTTATTTAAACAAAATAAACAAACAAAATACCTGCCAGCAGCCCCTCACGGACGACTGCTGGCTACCAAAAAAAAATATAAAATACCGGCCAGCAGCCCCTCGCGGACGACTGCTGGCTTACCAAATAAAATATAAAACACAAACAAAAGCAGGCCTGTTCCTCTCTTGATCATCCACTCCGTCGCTCCCCCTTTATGGCTCCGCTCCTTCGTGAGAGATGCGAGACCGGTGTGCTTCGCAGGTGCTGCTCATTAGCAATCGCAACACCGGCCTCGCGACTTTCTCTCACGTCCCTCGGCCGTCCTGCTCACCACATACCCCCATCACCCCTCACAGGCCGGGGGGTACACCCGAGACTGTGCCTACTTCCCCCCCGGCGGCGGCGATCCCTGGGGGGTATGGATCGACGAGCCAAGGGAAACGGAGACGGAAGCCTGAGGAGCGACGGACACGAGAGAGGGGAGAGAGAAAAATAAAATAAAATAAAATAGTCCGGCTCCCACAACGCGCTGCCATCTTGTCCCTCACCAGCTGGGCGATCTCCTCCGCGGTGCCCGGCGGCGACGCTGGATGGCCCTCGGTGAACGCCTCGACGCTCCCCCGCCCCCGGTGGACGGCGACGGCTCCTCGGGTGCCTTGGGCAGACGGCAGGAGTCCCCCGCTCCCTGCTCCTCCCCTTCACTGGCGGATGGCAGCAGGCTCCGGCCCACGGCGAGCGGCGGTGACTCCTCCTCTCCCTCCCGGAAGGCAGCCGCCCCTCCATTCCCAGGCGGTCGGCGGCGAGCTCGGGCGTCCCACCGGCAACTCACCCCAGCGCCCCACCTCGAGCGTCCATGGCCGCGAGTCCCCCGCTCCCTGCTCCTCCCCATCTGCGGCGGACGGCAGCAGGCTCCGGCCCACGGCGAGCGGCGGCGACTCGCGCACCATGCTCGATGGCACCACGGATTCCCCACAGCGGCGAGGACCCTCGGACAGCGCGTTCCTCCCTCTTCCCGGGTTTCGGCACCAATGTAACAAAGTTCAGGGAAGAAGGAGGCAGGAACCGGATAATAATGAAAAATAAAACTTTATTTAAACAAAATAAACAAACAAAATACCTGCCAGCAGCCCCTCACGGACGACTGCTGGCTACCGAAAATAAAATATAAAATACCGGCCAGCAGCCCCTCGCGGACGACTGCTGGCTTACCAAATAAAATATAAAACACAAACAAAAGCAGGCCTGTTCCTCTCTCGATCATCCACTCCGTCGCTCCCCCTTTATGGCTCCGCTCCTTCGTGAGAGATGCGAGACCGGTGTGCTTCGCAGGTGCTGCTCATTAGCAATCGCAACACCGGCCTCGCGACTTTCTCTCACGTCCCTCGGCCGTCCTGCTCACCACAGGATCCTTCATTGTCAATGAAAACTAAGTGTAGGCTATCTGATCAGTCTCTGTCCAGAAGGAGGCGCTACATGATCATCAGAGGTTCAAGAGGAACTAGATATTATTATTACAATCCGGCATGGAAAGTCTGGTCCAGTTCAAATCCAGTTCAAACACATGATTTTGTGCTAAAACAGTGTTGTGAACTTACTGTACTGTATATCTAATGTTAACATTCATATTCTCTTTAAAGATTGGAATTAAATAAGTGATATTAAAATAAAACAAACTGAAAGACACTTACAGTTCATGAATTAATGAGCAAACTTACAGTATAAATAGACTGAAGTGGGTTTTGTCAGTTGAATTGTGTGATTGATACAGGACACAAAACACTGCAGATTTACAATAAAAACATTGCTGTAACTGCACATTTGGAGGAACCAGTTTATTCACTTTTGTCTCACACACAATCCTGAGAAAACAGGAGGATCTCAGTGACTCTTGCAATGATTCGTGACTTATTATGGTTTCACCGTCGGCCTCCTGTGATGCTTACACAACACTCTCTGACACCTGAAGCATGAAGAGGACAAACTGCTGACAAAAAATCTTCTGTATATTCTGTGCTGTATTTGTCTGTCTGCTATCTGTCAGTCAATAGATGAAGGCTGCTGGGGTTTCTTCACACACCCGAAGAGTAAAGACTGTCATACACACAGTGTTTGGGTTGTCAATGAAAATATAACAGAGATCTAAACCCTCGCCCAAGAGTCATCAATTAGATAACAAGTCAGAGATGAAACCAAACACCTTGTAATCACTGTTGACTGTACGTATATGATGGAATATCATGCATCTCCCAAAGTATTTTGGCAAAAACGAGATTTAATGCTGGGTAAAAGGAAACAAACTGAATGTCTAAAACTTTACTGTAAATTAAAAGTCAAGACCGTGCTGATTCAATAAAGACATCTTTTTTTTTATTTAGTTCACATTAGTTCTTTTATTATTTAATAGATATAGTGTTTTAAACAGTCACCTCAACATTGTTCCTACATTTTTTATTTACCAAATCTGTAGTTACATTATTTCATTAACAAATTTTGAAAGCAGAAACAACCCATTGCTGTGAGCTTAATTTGCATTATTTATTTTAGGAATATTGGTAAAGTAACATCATTGTTGCTTTTGTGTGTATTTCTAACTAAATTCCTCTCAGATCCCTGCAAATACATAAAAAAATATTAAAATGAATTAATATGCATGTAAATAAATAAGACGTCCACAATTATTTGTACATAGTTTTTACAAACAAAGTGGTGACATGATTCTTGCTGACGATTAATAAAGGAAATTCAGGGTGGAGGGAGTGGAAATGTTTAGTGACTTGTTGCCATATATTAAAATAGGTCATTTATAATAGCGTATTCTTGTATTTTTCAGAACATCCTCCCAGGCCATTATACATTTTACAACCAAAAGATATTAGCCATAAATAAATACAGTACAGTACAATCATATACGGACAGATAATTAAGTAGAGGAAATTTATTACTATTGTATTTTTTACTGTCCTGCACAAATGCTGGCCAGGATAAATATGAGATTGATTTTTTTTTAATTATGCTTTTATCATTATCTTTTATCTTAATAAAGTTACTTGTTTGAGAAATGTCCCTATGCCAGTGTGAATGTGCATATTCATTCATCGTCTGTGTGCGACTTGTGTGAGAAGAGTAATATTCAGTGTTACTCTACTCTTGTAGACTGTACTCAGTCTATCTAGGCATGTCAGCCTGTGTTTGTTGTTAAATCTGACACAGACACAGTTCAGACTGGAAAACCTTAAATCCAGCATAGAGGGGTTTAGTGAATGTGCTGTTGAATGTGTGTAAGTGTGTGAGTGTGTGTGTGTCAGAGACGCTGTAGAAGGACAGTGTGCCGGACGGCCAGTTCAGATACACTCCTATTCTCTCATATTTTGGTTCACGGGTTGGTAAGTTAATGCTCACATTATTGTGCCAGGCAACAAATCCATTACGAGTGCAGAAAAGACACCATGATTTGTCATTGTATCCAAACTTCGAGAGAGTACCTTCTTTCCTGCCGATTCCTTTATAAGCCACTGCTATACGAGCCCATGAGCCCCGTTCATCGCCCCTAAGGCCCCATTCAACCTCCCAGTAACAGCGTCCAGTCAGACTCTCTCGACACAGAACCTGAGGATTATCAGCAAATCTCTCTGGATGATCAGGGTACGGCTGACACTCTTCCACATATGTGATCTTGCTGTTCTCTTCAGACAGGATGAGATGAGTGTTTGCTGTGTTTGGATCCAGTGTGAGATCACAGGCATCTGAACACAAGAGGATAAGCAGTTTATAATGTATCATTTGTTTTCATCAAATGTGCAAAAGTGTTTCAGAGAAAGAACCTACATTTTCGTAGTGCTGGTTTTATCCGAAAGGGCCCTCCGTGATCCAAACTAAGATACACAAACATACAGAGAAAACAAATTTTAATTAGTGTGAATAGATATTCACATACAGAATATTTATATAAAGAGTCATGTAATGTTTATTTGTATAGCACATTTCTCAACACATATTGTTCTAAATGTCTCAATGTCTTGAGATTTGATATCTTGAATATGTTCAGGCCCCCGTCATGATTCACGAAACAATAATTTAGAAGATTAAAGACCAGCTTCATAATTTTCATTTTCTGGTGTGATCTGCTGACAATCTTCAACAGCACCTTCGGGTTTTGTTGTGCAGCGAAACAGAGGCTCTGCTAGGATCTAGCAAATTGATGTTGTAATGTGCCATTAATAATTAAACAAAATTTCATATTTAAGCATAAAGAACGGTAAAACATAAACGCTGTCGGCCAACATCGGTTAACAGCATGTAGGCTTCAATGTTGTCATCTAAACGCCTATTAACAAAAATGACAGACAATGACTAAAAAAACTCAGAAAAGTATTTAGAATCAATAAATGCACATTGCCAAAGTTTTTATTTTCGACAAATATTAAACTAGAGACAAAATATTGAAATCAGTTTATAGAGCCAAGTTTTGTACTCCGAACGCTTTAACGTCCACAAGGCACATGTTGAAGCGTTGACCACACAGCTATTGTCTAAACTCTTAACATCTTATGCTCATGCAAAGCCTTATGGATTTCACTTTTTTTCTCAACGAACCACAGCAGTACTTCAAGGAGTAGTTCACTTTTCAAAAAACTTTTACTGATAATTTACTCGCCCCCATGGACATCTTGGATCTTTCTTTCTTCAGTTGGAAAGAAATTAAAGTTTTTGATGAAAACATTCCAGGATTTTCTCCATATAATGGAGACTTCAATGGGAACCAAACGGTTCAAGGTCCAAAAGACAGTTGCATAATCGCTCACTAAAAAAACTAAAAAACAAAGCTCAAATGGTTTCCTTGCTCTTTACTGCGATGCACGTTCGTGACTCTCCTGTTCGAACTCATTCATCAAAATGAACTAATCTTTTTCCAAGTCATTTGGTTCATTCAATGAATGAAATGAACGAATTGACTCATAAAAAGATTCGTTCATTTTGATGAACGAGTTCGAACTGGAGAGTCACGAACATGCATCACAGTACAGAGCGAGGCGATCATTTGAGCGTATAAAACTAAAACTTTTTTTTCTTTAAATGAGCGATCGTTAAGCTTGATAAGACCTTATTCATCACCTGGAATCGTTTAAAACCCTTTGAACAGTTTTTAGTTTGCACTGAAACTGTCTTTTGGACCTTGAAACGTTTGGTTCCCACTGAAGTCCATTATATGGAGAAAAATGCTGGGATGTTTTCATCAAAAACCTTAATTTCTTTTCGACTGAAGAAAGAATGACATGGAAATCTTGGATGACATGGGGTGAGTCAATTATCAGCAAAAGTTTTTTTCAAAAGTATCTCTACCATCTTCAAAATCTTAATAACGTATCTATATATTCTAATTTGTACACTTAATGTATTAGTTCTATTTGAAGCAAGCTTTTTCTGCCAATATTGCACTTTTACTTTAAATATGTAAAAACTGCAATAAAGAATATAGTAAAATTACATTATTCTATATATTATAAATATGGATTAAATTATTAAATGCAGAAATTCTACACACTTAAGAATCTGCAGTGAGCAGTTTGGATCCTTCAGTTTTCCAGAGAGCAGCCTGACTCCTGATTCTCCTGGGTGATTGTAGCTCAGATCCAGCTCTCTCATGTGTGAGGGGTTTGAACTCAGAGCTGAAGACACATAACCACAGCCTTCCTCTGTCACCATACAGCCTGACAACCTACAGACACACAGTCAGATCATCTACAGACACACATCAACAGTAAACAGGTTGTTTTAAAGCCAGTATGAAACCATAACCTTCAAATAATTATCAACATATGAATGACTCAATGTAAAAGTCAAACCTAAGTATCTTCAGCTGACAGCTTGGGCTCTTCAGTCCATCAGAGAGCAGTTTCACTCCTGAATCCTGCAGGTCATTGTTACTCAGATCTAGTTCTCTCAGGACAGAGTTTGAGGACTGAAGAACTGATGACAAACACTCACAACACTCAGTGAGATTACAGCCAGCAAGACTGAAAGATATGAGATTTATATTTTTTAGCTGCATTCTGTAATTAGGATTTCAACAATCTCAGCATCATTCATGTAAAAATATATATATATATATTTTAAATAATCAAAATATGATGTACAAGATGATCAACAATGTAATTATATTCAGAAACTGTTCAATGTAATAGATTATTTCACACTCACAGGGCTTTCCGGCAGTTGATCACAGCTGCTATCAGCCTTCTTCTACCCTCATCTGATGTGTTGTATTTCTTAAGGTCCAGCTCATCCAGCACCTCCTCTGACATCTGAAGCATGCAGGCGATTGTTGAGCATTGAGCAGGAGAGAGTTTCTTCGCTGAGTGTTTGTCTGATTTCACAAACTCCTGAATCTCTCTGGACAGAGTCTGATCTTTCATTTCCAGTAGACATAGGAACAGATTGATGGATCTTTCAGCAGAGAGTCCATGTCCATCATTGATCTTCTCTTTAATGTACTGTGTGGTTCTCCTGATGCTCTCTGAGCTGTGCTCTGTGTGTATCAGTAGATCCTGTAAGAGTCTCTGATTGGACTCCAGTGAAACGCCCATCAGGAACCGCAGGAACAGATCCAGCTGTCCATTCTCAGTCTCAAGAGCTTTATCTACTGCTCCTCTAAGCAGATTATGCACTACATCGATAAACTGCAATGTGTCAACATTTTTCATCACATAATGGTAAAACACATACAAAGCAGCGAGAAACTCCTGAATGCTCAGATGAATGAAGCTGTAGACTTTTCTCTGATGAATCACAGATTCCTCCTTAAAGATCTCAGTGCAAATCCCAGAATACACTGAGGCGTCAGTGACGTCTATGCCGCTCTCAATCAGGTCCTCCTCATAGAACATCACATTGCCCTTCATCAGCTGATTGAATGCCAGATCAGCAAGTTTCACAATCACGTCTCTGTTGGACTGCAGGAGTTTCTCTGGATCTCTCTCTTCATACTTCTGGTTCCTCATATGAGTTTGAATGAGCAGGAAGTGTATGTACAATTCAGTCAGAGTTTGAGGGATTTCTGCACTGAGATCTTGTTTCAGGATGTTTTGAAGCACAGTGGCTGAGATCCAGCAGAAGACGGGTATGTGGCACATGATGTGGAGGCTTCTTGCTCTTCTGATATGTGAGATGATTCTGCTGGCTTGATGCTCATCACTAATTCTCTTCCTGAAATATTCCTCCTTCTGAGGCTCATTGAATCCTTGAATCTCTGTCAGACGGTTGATGTATTTGGAGGGGATCTGACTGGCTGCTGCTGGTCTAGAGGTGATCCAGATGAGAGCCGAGGGAAGCAGATCTCCTTTAATGAGGTTTGACATCAACACACCCACTGATGAAGTCTCAGTCACATCAGAAACTTTCTGAGCATCTGAAAAACTCAGTGTGATTCTGCTTTCATCCAGACCATCAAAGATGAACACAACTCTACACTCCTTATAAATCTCTGAGTCCAGATCTTGAAGTTCATGATGAAAGTCCAGCAGAAGTCTGTGAAGACTGTACTGATGATCTCGGATCAAGTTCAGCTCTCGATATGGAAGCACAAACATGAAATCTACATCCTGATTGGCTTTTCCCTCGGCCCAGTCCAGAATGAACTTCTGCACAGAGACAGTTTTACCGATTCCAGCGATGCCTTTAGTAAGAACAGTCTTGATTTGGTCTTTCTCCTGGTGTCCTGGTTCAGGAGAGGCTTTAAAGATGTCATTGCAGTAGATTGGAGAGTCTTGTGAGTGTTGTGTTCCGGCTGTTTTCTCCATCTGTAAAACCTCATGTTCTTCATTCACTCCTTCTCTCTCTCCTTCTATGATGTAGAGCTGTGTGTAGATCCTGTTCAGGAGTGTTTCATTCTCTTGGAGTTTGGTTCCCTCAAATAATCTCTCATACTTGTCCTTCATGCTGGTTTTAAGCCGGTCTTTGACTGTCTGCACTGGTCCAGCGCTGAATCTAATGCGTTTTCCCAAGGAGTCGTTACTCCTTACAGAATATAATCTCTGTCTAATGTTAGTTACAAAAACAAAAGGGCATTAGAGAACTAGTTATATTGTATAACCGGAATGCACCAATCATGAGTAGTGGCTGTAGTAATCGCAAAAGGCAAGATAATCCAAACAAGCACTAATTTATTAATCCACAAAGGAACGCACAGGAGAACACAGGAGAAAACTAACACATAAACATGAAAGATACTTGGCAATGAAAAAATGGAAACTGATTGCTGGCTTTTTTTTCTCATCAGTGCAAAAGAGATTCAAATAACACCATTGATTTTTGTTCATCATTATAAATTAATTATACATAATTCAAAACTGTTAAATTTATTTTTTTCCATTTGTTTTCTTGAAAACTAGTTATTTTAGTTTATAAAATTTTAAATATGGCTATTTTTCTTACACAAACACAACACTTTGTTTAGAAAGTATTATTAACCCCCTGGAGCCGTATAGATTACTTTTATCATGAATGAATGCACTTATGGGCTTAAAAATATCAACATTCTGCCATTATAAAGCTTGGAAGAGCCAGGACTCTGTCTCTGATTGTTTATGGCCAGAAAGAAAATCACAAACACCAACTGGCAGCCAAAAAAAAAAATACATAATATTTATTTATAAATGTTGGAAATATAATCCAACACCATATATTGGTTTCACTAGATATAAATGGGGCTCTGCCATAGATTTGATAATTATACAGAGTGAAAATTTATATTATTTATATTTTGTAATGAGTGATTACACATGAACTGATTTATTAGCAGATAAAAACAAACTTGATCTACTGTGTTTATACTCACATAGGATCAGTGGTCACTGGTTTATCACTGAAGTTATTACGATAATCCATGGATTTATCACTCTTCACAGACACACGGCTGGGTTTAGGAGATCTCTGGGACCGCGAGCATCTCTCCTCTGGTTTTTCATTGAGACTCATTTTAGAAGCAGTGTTACTCTTCTTTCTATTCAAAAATATATTGGACCTGCCAATATATAGTTAATAAATTTGAAATACTCACATCATATCCATTCAAAGATACAACACGCAGCATACAGAAAAGCCATTTGCTTTAGACTTGTACTTACCATAAAATATCCCACTGGTTTAAGGCTAAGCTGATCTTTCAGCCTCTTTCCTTGCCAATGTGAATCTGCTGTGTTTCTGTTTTCAGTTTTAGCTGTTCTACCTGTTACGCCTCCTTTACTCAGAGTTCAAGGACTTTCATGAAGCAGTTCTTGGAAAAAGCAGAACAGCATCCAATAAAAAAGAAGAGATGTTTTGAAAAAAGGAGAAATGCGGGTAACCTTCACATTGACCATGTCTGTTTGTTTTAACCCTTCTCACAGCAGCAATGTGATGTAAAGCAAAACACAAGCTATTCAGAATAAGTGAATAAGTCAAGTCAAGTCACATTTATTTATATAGCGCTTTTTACAATACAGATTGTATCAAAGCAGCTTCACAGTAATAACATGAAAATAAAAAAACACAGATCAATAATATTGTTGAATATTAAATGTCCCCAACTAAGCAAGTAAAAAGCAAGGCAACAGTGGCAAGGAACCAAAACTCCATCAGGCGATTGAATGGAAAAAAAAAAACCTTGGGAGAACCCACCCACACGGAAATGTAATATATGTACATATATGAAATATGCATATATTAAATGCACATAGACAGTGAAAACATATATATACATATATATCTGCCCATATATAAAACCTATTCGAAAATGGAACAATTTCATATATTGACATATAAAACTAGCCCATATATTTTATAAATGTATAATTTATAATGTATGTACATATATGTTAGATATATAATTATCAATATATTATATGACATATATTATTTGTATATATGTTCAATATACAAACTACACATATATGCATAGCATATTGCTCACATACATGTGACACATATATGTCCCTAACCCAGCTAACAAAGTTAGGTTCTGAGAACGTTTTTCTAACGTTCCTTTTTGGTTGTGGGAACGTTGATTTGAAATGTTCTAAAAACGTGGAAATGTCCAGTTTGCTTAATGTTGCTGGAACGGTATCTTAATGTTTGCAAAACATTGCTAGAACGTTATATTACAGTTTTTCTCGATTGTTTACACACATTTTCTGGTACTTGAGACACAATGACCACAACACGTAACTCATTCACCAACCCCCTGAACCAATTCTACTGAACTACAAGCAAAATTCCTGCTTTACACTCAAATTGCAGCTCTAAAACACACTTTTTTCAAAACACTACACACGATTCTCTGGATTTGGCACAATTTTCATGCAGAAAATCTCTTGTTTTCATGAGGAACACACTGCCATTCAAATATTCACACTGACTCGTCACATGGGCAAACACATTTCACACAGTTTTACAATTAGCGATCAGAGCTTTAGCATAAAATACCAAAACCAAAGAGAGGATGCAGCATAGATATTTTTTTTATTTCTTTTTTTACTGTAACAGTGTTACGAACCGTTGTGGGTCTAGGGTTGGTACCGCAACATTTATATATTGAACATACTGCTGAAAGTGGAGTGTGGTGGACAAACACATGTCAGACTCATTTTGAAGAGAAAAAATAACTGGAATTTATTTCTGTAAGCCGAAGCCATTGAGTCCAGTCAATAATAATCATAATAATAATAAGTGCTACATACAATAAATGATAGGGTGAATAAAACAAACAAACAATAAAAGGAAAAGAACAAAAGTGGCGCCAAAAGAAAGAACACAAGATAACAAAACACTCCTTACATCTAACCTAATCTAACCAAAGAAAAATGTAGAAACTAAACCGAAATCTTCGGTGCATCCGGCACCCTAACTCACTATCTAATAAAACAAAAATACAACGGGTGGCGCTCACTTCTTACCTGGTGTTTCTAACAATTATCTGCTACGGGTACAATGTATATCGCGATATACTTGCCTATGTTCTTTTCCCCGAAAAGCAAACAAAAGCTAACAACACGAATGAATATCACCCATTCAAAAATAGATAAACATGTCGCATAAAGCACATAATGCAACTCTCATTCCGCTAGTGACCTCAAATCACTTTACAAAGAGAGAACAGAGTTTTCTACCATAAGCTACAACAAAGGAGAGACACTGGGACAATGAACGCAACATCCTTTTAACCAGCTGGGACGATCTCCAATTAGTCACCAAGCCCCGCCTTACGGATGAATGGCGTCCGACTCGGCCAATCCCAGCAACCTATAGGCAGAGATCAGGCGATAGAGACAGAGAGAGAGTAATGAGCAGCATAACGACTAACAGGTGATAAACACATCAATACACAGAATAACAAAACGCCACACACACACGTGGAACGTAACAAACAGCATAAGAAATTCTGTTGTTTTGTATGTAGACCACTGTATGTGCAACTTTGTGTTGGTTGGGGTGTACAAAATGTGGGATCTATCTCCCATTGATTTTGTGGGGAAAATACGTAAAATATATTTGTTACCGTGTATTTGTGTGTTCTGTGTATAAAAAACAATATTCTCAAATATTTTACAACACACTTATGTATGTAATATCTGTAGTAAGTGTAACACTGAACAAAAAAGGCCTAAGTCATTATGATGATTGGAGAAGAAGTGTTTTCCATTGATCATAGTGTTTTACATTGAGCACATCAGTGTTCAACTGGTTCTTATAAATGTCTATTCATATGATGGTTTGTGTGTGTCATTTGAAAACGTCTCAGGTTACGACTGTAACCTATGTTCCCTGAGAACAGGGAACGAGACAATACGTCGAATGACGCAATGGGGAACGCCTCAGGCGTGACAGGTGTCTGAAATCAAATATCAACTCACAGTAATCAGGTTGACCGGCGACAGCCCGTGCATCATCAGCTTGAATGATCTGGATGTATAAGAAGGGCATCAATCTGGATGTATAAGAAGGGCGCCTTGAAACCGTGACAACATCCTATCGTCTGAAGGGACTGTTGCAGGCAGGCCCCGAGGCATGGCAACGAGACGTATTGTCTCGTTCCCTGTTCTCAGGGAACATAGGTTACAGTCGTAACCTGAGACGTTCCCTTTCGAAGGGAACTCAACAATACGTCGAATGACGCAATGGGGAACGAAATACCCACTCCGCCATGCTGAGGGGAGTGCATGCCGAAAAGGCAGTGACAACTGTCAGAACCAGTAATTCCAAGGAACACTGAAACCACTCACCCTACGTCACATCAGGCTGTCAGTGACAGCACTACCGGTCATAGCCCAAGCTAATGAACCAAGAAAAACCAGAACGTAATAACGTGGGTAAATCTGGGACAGCTCAAAGGCTTTAGGACCACAACTTCAAAATAGAAGGGGTCCCTTCTAGGGAGTGTGGCTAGGGGGCCAAAAGGACCCCCAGCCAGTCACTATTCAGGAGAACACTCCTCCTGAAATGCCCCCAGGCTGGCCTGGTGATCTGTACTAAGACACACAGTCTGGCCATAGCCTGTCCGTCCAAGACAGAGCCTCTGGAAATTGCCTAGGAAAGGCATCCAAAAACTGAAGGCCCGCGAAGCTGGCAGAAACCATCAAGTTTCGGATCACAGAGACAGGATCCTCCGGAGAGTGTGACTCAACCTCAAAACAACGGGAATCGTACGCTCGCTTTTGAGCACTGAGGAAGTAAGAGAGGGATCAAAATCAGGAGGGTCAATGAGACCTAAGACCTGATGACCCTCTGTGTAGGGAGCTCTGAAACATGAGGGCTCATGTCAGGAAGGCCGCACATTGGCCTGAAACCCAACAACCACAGCATGTGGAAGCTCATCCTTCAGGAAAGCCAGAGGCTAGAAACCTGACAGACCCACAATGTGGGGCTATCTCGAAAAAGGTCTAATCAGACCTAAAACCACAGTTGTGGGAGATAGCTTGAACAAGGGAAGTGCCTGTCGTAATGTATTGCGACAAAAACACATCCACAGTGGGACCCAAAGTGAAGAACCGGAGTCTGAACCACATAAGAAGGGACCGAAGCATACCGCGCGTGACCCTCACCATATGAAATGGATTTTAAAAACTGCACAAGACATCTCGTCAGGTGACTTACCACAATAATAGGTGAAGTATGGGTTTGTGTACTTCACTCTGAATTCAGGAAGGCCTGTTGAGGCCTGTAACCTGGCGTCCACAGTGTGTGGGAGCTCATGGCCAGGAAGGCCTGGTAAGACCTGTAACCTGGCGACCACAGTATGCGGGAGCTCGTAACCTGGCGACCACAGTATGTGGGAGCTCATAACCAGGATGGCCTAGTGAGGCCTGTAACCTGGCGACCACATCCGGTGGGAGCTCGTACTCAGGAAGGTCAGTGAGACCCAGCCTGGTGTACCTGAAAAACCACACCAAGTGGGAGCTACTTCCAGAAGTTAGCTCTTAAGAACTCTTAAAGTGGGACCCGAGTAAAGACCGGGGTCTGAGCCAGATAAGAAGGGACCGAAGCATACTGCGCGTGACCCTCACCATAAGAAATGGATTTTAAAAAGTGCACAAGACATCTCGTCGGGTGACTTTCCACAATAATAGGTAAAGTATGGGTTTGTGTACTTCACTCTGAATTCAGGAAGGCCTGGTGAGGCCTGTAACCTAGCAACCACAATATGTGGGAGCTCATAACCAGGAAGGCCTGTTGAGGCCTGTAACCTGGCGACCACAGTGTGTGGGAGCTCATGACCAGGAAGGCCTGGTAAGGCCTGTAACCTGGCGACCACATTGGGTGGGAGCTCGTACTCAGGAAGGTCAGTGAGACCCAGCCTGGTGACCACAACCTGTGGGAGCTTACTCCACCAAGTGGAAGCTACTTCTTCCAGAAGTTAGCCAGAGAAGGGCGTCCCTGTAGCCAGTGACAGGACGCCACTTAAAGTGGGACCCAAGGGAAGACCGGGGTCTGAGCCACATAAGAAGGGACCGAAGCATACCACGCGTGACCCTTACCATACAAAATGGATTTTAGAAAGTACACAAGACATCCCGTCATGTGATTTACCACAATAATAGGTGAAGTAGGGGTTAGTGTACTTCACTCTGAATTCAGAAAGGCCGAACTTGAGGCCTGTAACCTGGCAGCCACAACAAGTGGGAACCCATAATCAGGAAGGCCTGACAAGGCCTAACACCCGATAGTCCCAATGC